ATAATATATATATAATATTATATAATTATATATATATATATACATATATACACCAAAACGAGCAGATGGGCTCATGTTTGCCCTCTCTCTTCCTGTCCGTTAGCTGTGTTGTCCTCTCACGGTGCCTGCTTTCACTTTTGCAGCCTGTCACCACCTAGTAAAAGAGATCTTTATCATTCCAGAGAGGTTCGCAGTCCACCACCACCGACTCTCAGGTACACTTTACCCCCATTGGGTTTAAGTCACCTGGGGCACTTTTACAAAGAGCAGCTCAAGGTTGCACTAATGCCTTCCATTCCTTCTGATCTGCAGATGAAGGTGGCGAGGGCAAGAGGGAGGCAGGAGGTCAGGACTCCAAAGAATACTGTGCCTCTGATAAGGACATTGTGGAAGTGGTGAGGACGGAGTATGTGTACACACGGCCCCCGCCCTGGTCCGATGTTTTGCCCACCATCCATATCATCACTCCCACCTACAGCCGACCCGTGCAGAAGGCAGAGCTGACAAGGCTGGCAAACACTTTCCTCCATGTTCCCAACCTGCACTGGATCCTGGTAGAGGACTCACAAAGGAGGACGCCACTCGTTACTCGACTCCTCCGAGAGACGGGACTGAACTACACCCACCTCAATGTGGAGACGCCCAGGAACTACAAGCTGCGAGGTGACACTCGTGACCCCAGAATCCCCAGAGGGACCATGCAGAGGAATCTGGCCCTGCGGTGGCTAAGGGAGACCTTCAACCCCAACAGCAGCCAAGCAGGAATCGTCTACTTCGCTGATGACGACAACACGTACAGCCTGGAGCTATTTGAGGAGGTCAGTGCTGGAGCAGTGTCATTGCTGCTTCTACAATCTTTGAACGCATGTTTTAAACATTACTTAGTTTAAACAAGTGCAGATACCAGGAACTTAGCCTGACATAAATACTGTTTCTGGTTTCTAATGCTTTATAAGCCATCGCCATCCTAAAGGTACAGTATACTTTAATACTGACTGACAAAAAAGGCTGTAAGTAAGCTGCAGCTGCACGATAGAGAAGCTCTTCTAGTTTTGGGTCTGTGCAAAGGTTGTTCTAAAGTTAGAATGGACACATGACGTTTTTAAGGTCGTCTTTTCAAGTTGTATTTATTTTATTTGCAGATCGGCCTTTTTGACATTTAACTACTGGTAGTATAGTTGTGCATCACCTTTATCTGCTTGCACACGTTTGGATAACTAAAGTGACTAAAACACTGCTGTCAGAGAGGGCTCCTCATTAGACATGATAATGTGTGACAAATACATTATAGTAGGTCTTGAGCACGAACAGAAAACCCCTTCATCTGCATCCCCTCGTGTGTTTCCTCTTCAGCAGAACTCTCTCATGTATGCAGGTAATTAAGCAGATCATGACAATGCCATGGAAACAACTTAATGCAGACATAATAGCCGTGGCGTTAGCATTGTGCAAGTGAGGCATGATTGATGTTTTAGCTATAGCTCCCATCCTGCAAGGTCTCATGCCAGTAAAGGGTCACTGTACGGTGAGACTGTGGGCATACATGTAGTAGTGTTGTCATGGAAACGTGCCTGTGGCATAAATAACATGGTGAGGATGAAGAAGAGCATCTCATGGACATGTAGCAGAGAAAAACTTTTTTAGGGAATCTCAGAGTATTTACATTGAAGAAAAAAATTAAAAGTTTACCTCGATCCATATTCCAATAGGTTGTAGAAAGTGATAGGTTGTGTAGGAGTTTTGCTTTCTTCATTTCACAGAAACAAACCTATTTTTAGTGACTGATACCTTCAATTCAATTCAATGCATTATTAGTTTCTCAAACAACTTTTTCACATTATGAACAATCTTAGTGATACCTACAGCCCTGCCAGGCTTTACAGGGGCAGCTGTGGCTGAGTGGTTAGAGCAGTCGTCCTCCAATGTGAGAGTTGTGGGTTCAATTCCACCTCTATTCACATGCCGAATTGTCCCTGGGTAAGACACTGAACCCCTCATTGCCTCTGATGTGTGTCCCATTGGTGTATGAATGAGACAAAACACTGATTAGTCTGTGTATGGAAATAGTAGAGTGCTATATGAATGGGTAAATGAGGGTACAGATTGTGTTGTAAAGTGCTTTGAATATCTTGATAGGATAGAACAGTGCTATACAAGTACAGTCCATTTACATGATGATTTTTGAACTCTCAATCATACAGTGCATTTGAACCATGTATTCTCAGACATTTGCTCAGTTGTTACTAAGCAATGTTAGGATCAACGGTGAGGAGACATAATTGGTACAAGTGAAGCCATCCATCTTAACACCAGTGGAATTACCTCAGCAGACATAGTCCAGGTCCTCCGAGCATTAGCCTCAGGTCTTGTTAGCAGAGCAGACAGAGTCTGTGGCAAATTGAGCGCTGGTATTGATACGGCCTGTCATTACTTTTCTCTGGGAATCAGCCAAAGTGCTCTGTCTCCCTCAGAGGCCCTCCATCACCTCCAACATGCCTATTTATGGGCCAGAGTAATGACCCTGAGGGGCAGGGAGAGCAGGGAGTCAGACGGAGGTAGAGAAGAGAAAAATAAAAGGTGACAGCCAGGTAGACGGAGAGCTAACTGCCACCTCTGTCCAGTTCACTGTAACAACAGTGGCTGTCAGTAAAAGTGCTGCAGGTTGAAAAACAACAAGGTGACTCAACTGGTATGAAAATAAACTCAGAAAAGTGTTCAACTTATTACCTGGCAGGACAGCCTTGTCAGAGTGAGTGTCACAGTCCATAAACTGCAGCTGGATCGAAGCAAACCAATGTTTCCTTTGATGCTAACCAAACAGATCAAAATGAAAAAATATGCACCAGTCAGCATTAGATCAACAGGTTCAACTAAATGGTGGCCTTGACCACCATAGATTAATCTTCAACCACCCCAACCATTTGAGGAAACAATACTTTAAACCAATATAAAACTAGAAAGCATAGTTTGCTCAAATACTAAGGGTGATTGGATCACTTATATACATATGTATATGGTGGCAGCCATCTTGGATTTTGATATGGCAACCCAATTTTCTTATGGTTGTGGATTTTCCTGATTTAGGTTGTCTCAACACAGAAACAGATGAAATTAAAGATGTCTTCAAAATGGTCTTTGAATTTGTTTATTGCAATAAACAGACACAGACGTCACCCAGGGTGCTTCACACAGCCAGTGGAGGAAGTGTGTATAACAAAAAGTTAAAAATAATTTTATGGCTCTTGTTCATGTGAAAGACAAAAGACAAGAAAAATAGGAAAATGGACTTTGTTGGTAAACGGACTGTACTTATACAGCACCTTTCTGTCTTATCAAGATACTCAGAGTGCTTTACAACACAATCTGTGCCCTCATTTACCCATTCATACAGCACTCTACTATGCCTTTATAAAGAATAATCAGTGTTTTATCACATTCATACACAGATGGGACAGAGTTAAATGTCAAAATGAGGGGTTCAGTGTCTTGCTCATGGACACTTCAGTATGTAACTGCTTGTGGAATAGAACCCTCAACTCTCCCATTGGAGGAAGACTGTTCTTAACAACTCAGCCACAGCTGCCCCAAGGTCAGAAGGGAATTGTGCTCTGTGTTCTTTGATAACTGATAGCTGTTGTCTTATGTACTCTGTTCCATTTAGATTACACATGTACCAGTTAGACAAGATACAGTATCAATCATGAGACGTACGTGTTCTACAGTATGTTGATAAATAGGATTTCACAATCACCCAGAGCACAGTATTTTCCACTGTGAAGACAGACACGTAATATTCATTCATTCAACCTTTATTTATACAGGTTTGTCTCATTGAGTCACAAGGACTCATTTACAAGAGAGACCTGTTTTAAACAAAGAACACAGAAGAGGTACAGACAACTATAGACAATCATATAAAAAGCATGTAAAATGAAAATTAAATAGAAGAAATTATATTATAACGAAACAAAAAATGCCTACATTACAAAGCGATGTAAAATACTTAAAACAGGAACATGTCTGCATTGATTTTTTTTTTTGCCATGAACTTGACAGATCTTTAAAATCCCTTAGAGAGGTCAAACTCGAGAGCTTGAGATATTTTTGCCAGGTGTTCCAGGAAACAAGTTCAGTCTGCACTGAGGGTGCACTCACTGCATGTCCTGATAGCGCATGCTATAGCTGCACTCACAGAGTGATATATAGGAGGAGATGTATGAATGTAGCGCCCGAACCACGTAGCTAAAGAGTTAACCAATAGGTTAGATTGAAATGTAGTATATTAGTCGGGGCTCTGGGAACATTATTTTAAAGATAGCTGTACTAACAGCTTACAGGAGATACAACTTACTATTTATATTTAATTTAATGGTGGTGCCTCCACTTAGCAGGGAATTATGACTTTACACTCTGTTTGATCCAGTAAGAATTTAATTCTGATAACTGTATGTTTATATTAAATACACTCCCTTGGAACACATAAAAAACACTTAAAGTAACATTCAAATAAGACACTGATGCTTGATTTAAATTTAAAAGGCACTTTAGTAAGAAAAGAAAATGTGAATAGAATAACTAATTGTTGCACAAATAAAATAAAAACAAAAGCAACTTTTTACAGTACTTTCAGTTCTATCAATTTAAACCAAATATTTTCAGTCCATATTACCCCAGGATACTCAGGTCCTTTAACATCTGCGGGACCATGCTGCAGATGTTTTACCACTCGGTGGTCTCCAGCATCTTCTTCCATGCTGTGGTGTGCTGGGGCAGCAGGGTGAAGAAAGCTGAAGCCAACAGACTCGATGAACTCATCAAGAGAGCTGGCTCAGTTCTGGGAGTGGACCTGCAGTCTGAGGTGTCTGAGCAGAGGATGCTGAGGAAAATGCTCCAGATCCTGAACAACACATCATGACACACTGGACTCTTACTGCAGCACCTTCAGTCGTAGACTGAGACCACCAAGATGCTCCACAGAACGCCACAGGAAGTCCTTCCTCCCTGTGACTATCAAATTTTTCAACTCCTCCCCCTTTCTACACAGAGGACAATAAAATGAATCCTGCACTACAATAAACACATTAATGTTTTCACAACAAAACATTAGAACATTTCACACATGTCTGCACCTGACCTGTTTAGAACTTCATTGTTGGTATTTTTATATTCTCTATTATTTTCTATATCTTGTGTGATTCCTTGTGTATGTTCCTTGGTATTGAAATTGTGGCACAACAATTTCCTGTGGGTATCCTGATGCATGCTCAATAATCCAGGTAGAAAAATAAAAAAAAGTTAAGTCTGGTCCTCTGGACACTTTCCTGTGGGATCAATAAAGTTCTATCTTATCTTATTTTACCCCTTAATATTTCAAGTAAGGCTTTTCAAACATAGAACTCAACCCCAAAATAACCCGTTGCAGGCCTGAATCAATGCTTAGGTGCGTGGGAGCTAAAAACAAACAGCTCGTTCACTCATTGAGCAAATAAAATAAAAAGCAGGTGCATTGGTTTAGTTTTGTACTCACAAATCCTTCAGAGTTTGAGATTGAATCAGAATAGGTAGATTTGGAGATCTCTTTAATATGGCATTGAGTAAAGTAAGAAGGCAGGTGATGTCACATGAACACCGAGATCCTTCCTGGCATCAACCTAAATGGTAGGAATCCAACGGCTGAAATGGAGAGATTCTAGTTGTCCAGCAGGTCCAAAGATTAGCTCCTGGTCCACTGTACACATTAACAGCTCTCAGTCCATATATATACAGTATTCCTTGGTAAAACACACTGGCATCTCATATGGAGCCATTAAGAGCTTCA